ACCGGTATATAGACCGGTATATAGACCGGTATATAGACCGGTATATAGACCGGTATATAGACCGGTATATAGACCGGTATATAGACCGGTATATAGACCGGTATATAGACCGGTATATAGACCGGTATATAGACCGGTATATAGACCGGTATATAGACCGGTATATAGACCGGTATATAGACCGGTATATAGACCGGTATATAGACCGGTATATAGACCGGTATATAGACCGGTATATAGACCGGTATATAGACCGGTATATAGACCGGTATATAGACCGGTATATAGACCGGTATATAGACCGGTATACCGGTCGAAAGTACCGACAGTAAACATGATCCAGTTTCTTTGATCGATCGCTTCGGAGTTGGAATAAAAAAACCGGATTATGCATATTCAACAGAAGCCTTTCACAATTCAGATTAATTCGTCTCGTATTCAAGATAATTTAGTTTTATCAATTGAGGATCCTCTCAATGACGTTTGCGTTTCGCGGCTATTCGAAATCAGTGGAGGCGCATATTTGCCGCTCAGATAGAAGAGAAACCGGAAACCAAATGGGAAAAACCGAAAAACCACGTCGAATCCGAAAAACCGGAAACGGAAGGCTAAAAACGGAAAATCCGCAAACTGTCACGGTAATAAACACCAAAATGGAAAAACCAAAATTTTTTTTGGACAAAAACCGAAAAACCATCTAAAAGATTGCCAAAGCTGTAAAACCGAAAATCCCAATGCTCCCCTCACTGGGTTGATTATGTAAATTGACGTTTTGAGCGTTACGAATACGCAAATTAAAATACACTCCAACGAATGGCTAACTCTCGAAACGTCAGCTTAGAGACTCTTTACAGGGGTCAATTTACATTATGAACTCAGTTGATAAAATCCAATTATCTCAGTTAGTATATCCTCGGCCGACGAAGTACCACAGTTTGTTTCGAAACTTACCCCCTTTATTCGTTTTATATTTAGTCAAGCGAGTCCTGATTAAAGAACTAAGGAATCCACACTTCTGACGCTGAGGAGATAAAATGCGCCTGTCACAGAAATAACTATTTCCATGATTAATCGTTTGGGCAGCTTCGAGTTTTATGAACACAATCGAACAAACGGTTTCTTTCCGATGGTAAGAGTGCTTGTTCTTTGTACGACAGCGCCAAGGTTCGATTCGGCTGGACACTTACTTCGATTTCAACCAACTTTAGTACCGCGGTCATATAGATCACAGCCACCATATACGTAACCAAGGCTTTACGAGAAACAGAACACTGGAGTAAATGCACAGGGCCGTCCTGATAAATGTCACTTACCTCGTAGCTTGATTTCCAAATTCCAAAGGAGAGACGGACATCAGAACAGTTATATTGACATCTTTAGTCTCAACCCCAGGTCCCTCTTACATCAAATCATGGCCGAGAGATGACAGTCACCTGGGTTCGAACAGACAACGCGCAGTTTAACCGTACTGGCAGGTTAGAGGATGCTCTTCCTCGACACAGCCAGAGAGGTCCGGCGTTTATTTGGGGGGCGATCTTTAACCGAGAATACAGAACACGGATGTTTAGGTCATCATAAGGTTGTTTTTGAATTGATTTAACTTGTAATAATTAAGAGAGGAGACGAGGGCGCTATGATACTATAATTTTTAACTCGCGACAATTTACCTGCGACTATTTATCTGTGAGTCGGGACGTAAATCAGCGATATACGACCCAGGAACATTCAGATTCTCCCACCAGGAATTACGAGGAAATCGACTTTACTATTAAGCATACTGGTGTTTACAAAATGTACAGCGCAACGCAGCAAAACTTCCTCTGAATCTTAACAGTTGCTCTTCTAAGAATATATTTTACATTGACAACGATTTAGACATTTTCAGATGCAGACGCATCTGACATACCTTGTGAAAAGGCTGGATCTGGAATTAGAGTTGATGATTAAAAAAAACAGTAGAAAGAGTTTTAAAAGACGAAAAGGGACGAGTTGAAATTCAGGTTTGAAGCCATTTATCTAAGCTTCAGCTATGAGGTTTAAGCGCTAAAGAAACAAAATCGTTTATTTCCAATCTTTGCTTTTTTTTTCTTCGCTTTCCTTCGCTTACTTGCCCTTTTTAATTGAGGCCTTTTTGTATAACTTTTTTATTAGTTGCAAAATTTGGTTGTTGTTAACGGACGTGTGAACTCAATAATTTACCAAGAGAACTGTGAAATAAACGTATACCACGTCCGTGAATATACAATATGGTTACCATCTCAAAGCAGCAATCCAGTGTGGAGTTTAACAGCAATTTTCCGCCTAGTCGTGTTGGTTCCGGCATTGAGGTAACTTTAACAAGTCTTACACAAAGAAAATCTTTTATGTTCTGTAAATTATACTGCCTCGTTTGTGTTTCTGGAATAAATTTGAGAATTCAGTAAAAATTTCGCTTACAAACTATCACAGTTGATTAACACATATACAAATCTTCACAGTATCGTATAAAAATTAAGTAATAAGTCCTTTTCCCTCGTTCAAAATCATCGCTAAGCAAACACATCCGTTTTGGTTGTTTTTGCTGTTCCATGTAGTTGACTTTCCTAGGATAGGGCTACAAAAAGAAAGAAACTCCATCAGTAAATAATTCTTAAGAGATCTTTTTCAGAATTAAAAGCACTGACTATCCAGTCAGGCAATTAACTAGATACCAACAATAATGTCTCAAGTGTAAATAAGAACTCAACTTGAAGAAGTAAAGGAAACTCAAAGCATGTAGTGGATGGGTAACATTATGGAAAACTTTATATAGCGGCGCTTGTCCACCGCTAGTTGGACCGCACAAAAAGCACTGGTAAATACAACGCACCGCACCAAACTTCTTAAGGAACGTCTCCTTCTTTATTATTGTATTGTACAGTCAAACTAAAAATTGATACGAGAAATTAGGGACACGCAGATAAATTAAGAAATACATCAGATACATCAAACTTACATTATTGCCGGATCTGGTGAGAGTAGAAATCGATTAAACCTTTCCTTTCTTTCCTTTACTGATTTCCGGTCTTTCCTCCGAGCACGTGCTTACCAAACTGATCAAAAGCCTTTTTTCGTCTATATTGAATTACTCTTAGGAGTGCGTGACCAGTCACCTAGTGTGACTTAAAGGATTATTAAGTAAATCAAACAACGAAACAGAACTCGTGCTATAGGGGCACTTACACTTTAACTTACTGACCTTACTGAATCAGGGCAAGCATGAAAAATGCCTGCCCTGTCTCTGTTTCAATACTTACCAAACGTCCGATTAAAGGTTCTACTTACTCTGCTATTAGTCTTTGAAATTCATCGCCGGGGATTTACGAAAACAATTAAATTTACCGAATGGAAACACCTTCATTCGTTGTACAGTCATAATAGCGCTTTTCGATGGAGTATCGTGAAACAAAAGCCAGAGAAATCGCCACAGCTCATCAGAACTGACCTGTGTCAACATCACAGTTACAAGCAAGCAACGACGATGATGATGATGAAACTTTATTAAGGTGTCTAAAGAAACCTCCTAGCTTATGTTAAAAACCTGTTCTAATCAGTAGGGGACACAAAATTCAATGAATATAAACGATCACGCGTTTGGTTTTATAGTTTTGTAAGTAATTAGTTGAAAGGATAACACGAGTTTCCCAGACAAATTATGGAGCTCAGTGATGAAAACCTTTTGCAATCTCAGATTACTTCCATCATTCAATTGAAAGCAGCTCTCAGAAACCTTGATTTTTCCTTTCTTGACCTATTTTCCGCAATATTTGACTCTCCTAATCAAAGACTCCCTTCACCGTGCCAGAAAAGTTTGAATCTGAGATATAAATGAAAACTATCAACTTTAAACTTACCCTTATTACCAAAGTCAAACGTGACGTCATCTCCAATCAACATGAATGGAGCCCACTCCGAAACTCTGGTATAGCCGTTGTTTCTCATCCACTTCATGGCCCGGTGAAGAGATTCACTGGCGCTTTCTCCACTGACAAGATGTTCGTAGAAACGACTCATGAGCTGTTCTGTTGCTGTGTCTGATATGGCCCATAACGCAACCAATACCGACCGAGCACCGGATCCTAGGAACGCTCGAGCGATTCCAATGACTCCTTCAGCTTTGATCTGTCCATTTCCACTGTGACAACAGCTGAGTACAACCAGTTTAGCTCTGACTTTAACTTGTGATATCTCGTCCATCGTCAACAGATAGTCTTCTTCTTGTGGGGTGATATTGGGATTGTCAGGAGTACGGATAGGAGAAAGAGCGACTTCTCCTCTTTCGGCATCGCCATGTGCAGCAAAATGTACCAGGCTCACTGATGTTATCTTTTCGAGTACAGCCTGCTTCGTCGCTTGCTCTCCTAATAAAGGCTTTACGCCGACCAGTCGTCCAACCATCTTTGCTTC